TACAGATAGGAGAATTCCTTTACTATCTGTTTCTTTCTCGGCCTCACTTAAAGTTTCTTTTCACTCCATTTATCCCTTAAATATCTATGTTTCCAAGACTGTTCTGAAACTTTTGCTGTTTTTGTTCTGCATACTCTCTTTAAGTAACTTCCTCCATTGACTTTAACTTCATATTGTATGCATTCCAACAATCTTTGTGTTTAGACCATTTACATAATGTCATTGTATGTTTACCATTTTATTATTTATGATTGTTGCCTCCTTTTTTTTTGTTGTTATTCCTTTTATTAATTTAGCCTTTCTTGTTTTCTTTTTAGTTTTTTAAACATTTTAATTATTTCGTTTGAATCTCTCAATTTATTGATTATATCTCTGTATTTTTTAGTCAGTTGCTCTAGGAATTACAATATATATGCCTAAGTCTTCACAGTGCAGTTAGAATTAAAGTACTGTTATGCTTTACCACCATATCAGTCCCTTTTCCCACTTCCTTTTATGTTGTATTTGTCTTGTGTGTTATATGTTCATACATTGCAATCCCATCAAACAATATTATATTTTTATGTCCAACTGTCAAACATCTTTTATTTTTTTTAATATTTATTGTTGACAATATTGTAGATGTCCCTCTTTTTTCTCCCCATTGCCCCCCCCAATCCAGTTCCAGCCCTGCCCCAGGTCTTCACCACCCTATTATCTATGCCCATAGGTAATGCATACATGTGTATAAGATCTTTGGTTAATCCAGTGGTTCTCAACCTTCCTAATGCCATGACCCTTTAATACAGTTCCTCATGTGGTGACCCCCAACCATAAAATTATTTTCGTTGCTACTTCATAACTGTAATTTTGCTACTGTAAACAATATGTAATTATATATGTATTTTCTGATGGTCTTAGGCAACCCCTATGAAAGGGTCGTTTGACCCCCAAAGGGGTCGCAACCTACAGGTTGAGAACCACTGGATCTCTTCCCTCCCTCTCATCCCTCTTCCTTCTGAGAAGAGGGAACAGTCAGTCTGTTCCATTTCCATGCCTCTGATTCTGTTGTATTCACCAGTTTATTCTCTTCATTAGATTTCTTATTCATTTATTTTGACTTTTAGATTCAATTGTTGATAGATATGTATTTATTGCCATATTATTGTTCATATTATTTATCTTTTTCTTCTTAAAGAATAGCATTCAACATTTCATGTAATACTGGTTTAGTGGTGATGAACTTCTTTAGTTTTTTCTTATCTGTGAAGCTCTCTTTATCTGACCTTCAATTCTAAATGATAGTTTTTCTGGGTAGAGTAATCTTGGTTGTAGATCCTTACTAGTCACCACTTTGAATATTTTTTGCCATTCCCTTCTGGTCTGCAAAGTTTCTGTTGAGAAATTAGCTGACAGTCATATAGGCAGTCCCTTGTAGGTAACAACTGCTTTTTCTTGATGCTTTTAAGATTCTTTCTTTGTCTTTAATCGTTGGCATTTTAATTATGATGTCTCTTGGTGTGGGCCTCTGTAGGTTTCTTTTGTTTGGGACTCTCTTCACTTCCTAGACTTGTAAGTCTATTTTTTTTCACCAGGTAGGGGAAGTTTTCTTTCGTTATTTATTCAGATAGATCAATATTTTTTTTTATTGCTTAAAGTATTACAAAGGGTATTACATATGTGTCCTTTTTCCCTCCCCTGCCCTTGACAATCCCCTGGCCCCCCTACCCCCCAGTGTCTTATGTCCATTGGTTATGCCTATATGCATGCATACAAGTCCTTCAGATAGATCAATATTTTAAATATATTGCTCTCTCTCTTCTCCTTCTGGCATCCCCATAATGTGATGTTGGTATGCTTGAAGTTGTCCCGGAGGCTCCTTATAATATCTTCATATTTTTGGATTCTTTTTTCTTTTTGCTCTTCTGATAGGGCATTTTTTGCTTCCTCATATTTCAAATCATTGATTTGACTCTCAGACTCCTCTACTCTACTATGTGTCCTGTGTCTTTGTCTCGGCATTTTTTATGCTTCCCTGTGTCGATAGAGTGCCTTTCTGTGCTAAGTGTCCCAATTACCTGAGGTAGACACTCTTGGTGCACCCCCTTATGGGCTTTGTGCACAGTTTTGTTGTAGTTAAGCCTTGATTGTTGTAGTTATCACTGTGAGGAATTGACCTCCAGGCCAATTGGCTGTGAGGACCAGCTGCAACTATAGTGGGAGGGGTGCTGTGTAGGAAACATCCCTATGGAGCAGGACTTGCTTTAGTGGAGTTTTGGTGCTCACTGAGTCTGCCCCTTGAGTGTGTCACTTGTGGATGTGTAGAGCTATAATCTGGTATGGCCTGAAGCTATTCACCAGGTGCACTGACTCTAGAGCAGCCGTGGGCAAACTACGGCCCGCGGGCCGGATCCAGCCCGTTTGAAATGAATAAAACTAAAAAAAAAAAAAAAGACTGTACCCTTTGATGTAATGATGTTTACTTTCAATTTACATTAGTTCACACAAACACTCCATCCATGCTTTTGTTTCGGCCCTCCGGTCCAGTTTAAGAACTCATTGTGGCCCTCAAGTCAAAAAGTTTGCCCACCCCTGCTCTAGAGTCTACAGAGAGATACAAAGTCAGCCACTGCCTGGGCCACCTGGCAGGAGCTACAGAGAGGTCTGAAGGTGCCTCCTATTTATATCTAGTTTGGATGTACCCAACTGTGAAGCAAGGCAGGCTGGTGCTGGTGCTGGATCTTGGGCCTTTTATTGATATGTTTGGGGCATGCTGACACCAGCTGCAGCTTATTTGAGATATTTTAAGAAAGTCTGAAGCCTGACCCAGGACAGATCATGTGGGAAAGCTGCTGCAAACAGCTTGGTGGGGCTGCAAATTGGGTTAGGTGAGTTCTCAGGGAATCACCAGGAAGAAGCAAACAGTGTGCTCCAGGTAGATGGGGACTCAGATATGGCTGCCAGTCAGCCCTGTGACAGGGAAGGTCTCAGCATAGGAACAATGACCCCTGCAAGCATCTCTGGTAGAAAGTCTTCCCTGTGTTCCTGCCCTGATGCCAGACAATCCGTTTCCTCACCTATGTGTCTGGGACCCCATCGCCTTTTGGCGCTGGATCTCAGTGGAAGCAAGTCCTGTTAAGTTTGTGCCTGGTCCTTTAAGAGGGACACCTGGGTCTCTGGCAGCCTTTGTGTCTCTCAGCCACAATCCCTGCTGGTTTGCCCAGTGCAATGTTATGGGGACCTTTCTTCCCAGTTCTGTGACCCTGGGTGGAGTGTCTGGTGTGGGGCTGGGACCCCTTTCTCCTCGTGGCGGCCTCTGCAGAGACAATCTCCCTCTGGATTACAAAAGCAGCCCACCTTCCAGCCCATTCTGTGCCTCTCATTCTCCTACCAGTCTCAGTGTACTTTATTCTTTCCTTCTCTAGTTGTAGGATTTCCATTCAGCTAACTTTCAGGAGGTTCTGGATGAAAATTGTTTTGTATTTTAGTTGTAATTTTGATGTGATTGTGGGAGGTAGTACCTGCATTTACTTATGCCACCAACTTGGTTCTCCTCCCCAAACATCTTTTCAAAAACTCAAGAAAGGAATAATATTATTTTACATAGATATTTATCATTTCCTTTGCTTTTCCTTCATTCTTGATGTTACACGTTTCTTCCTGTAACATTTTCATTGTCTGATAGCTTACTTTAGAAATTTGTTTAGAGCAAGTCTGCTTACAACTAATTTTCTTTTTCTCTATTTGAGAGTGCTTTTATTTCACCTTTATTATTGAAGAATATTTTTATTTGATATAAAATTCTGGTATAACAGGTTTTTTCTTTCAGTACTTTAAAAATATTGTTCCACTTCTTTTTCCGAGAGTACTCTGAGCCCATCTGGCACTTTTGGTTGATCAGATGTCTGCATTTTTTTTTTTAACCTTCATTTTATCACTCTTCTTCGAGAAGTTTCAATTATAAAACTCTTCCTCATTTTACTCTTCCTCCACTTAAAATATACCTTTGTATAGCTTTTTACTCTTTAGAACCAGTTAGAAAAGATCTGAGAAAAATCATTCACGGAATATATTAATGGTCAATAAATTATTATTGTTTCCCTTCCCAAGGAGATTTCCTTTAAGCATGGAAGCCTTAAATAAAGAAATGAAGTGCTGTACTACAGAATTCTAAACTCCATGCTTGTGTGTAAAGATGTTAGCCACAGAGATATTCCTGGGATACCTCAAATTATAGGAGGGAGCAGCCACCTTTACTGATTATGTGATGTTTTAGCCACTTCAATGGTGAAGACATTTGAAAATCCATATAGTGCTAGCATTAGCTTTCAGATTTTTGCTTTTTCTTTATTCCATTTGGCCTTAAGTGGGCAAGAAGTATGAGAGAAAAAAATAAACTTGATTAAAACTCCCGAATCACTCATTTAAATTTTAAACTTTAAATTTTTCACTTTTAGTTCTTTTGACAAAATATGAATTATGTTTAGAAGAGAATCCAAATTTGTGGCTGAGTACCTTTCCCCCATTCTACTTTAATAGATAATGTCAAATCTTAGAAGGTGGTTTTTGGAAAGTAAAAAGGCTTGACTTATTTTTGCAAAGTGATATTCCAAACACAGGTTATTAAAATGCCTCTCTTTTCTAAGGATCTCAAAGTCCCCCTACCTCAGGATTTCTGGGAGATACATTAGTTCTATTTTATAGAAGAACATAAACTGAAGCCTAGTGAAGCTGAGAGACCTTCTCTAAGGTATATAGTGAGTTCCCATGTGGGGAGAAGGAACTTTTTTCTTGGGGCTAAAGTTAGAGCACGCTCCCATCTCTCAGCTGTAGAGAAGCTCTGCTGGTCCAGGGAGGGGTTGGAGTGGGGAAGCGGTGCAGCCAGCCTCCTGGCTGATGCCTGGATTGGTTGAGGTCAGCCAGAGAGGAAGGCTAAGTCATGGGGATGCTTTGATTTATGTTGGTGTGTGATTTATCCACTCTGTTAGACAAGCTACTTTCTTCCCCTGTTCCTCAGGCAGTCTCACTGCTGGAGATGACGGTCAGCTGCTCTCTCTGCGTAGCCACCATCACATGCCCCAGCATTGGAGCCTGGGAAGCCTGACCACAGACCAGCATCTCTGAGGCATGAATAATTAGGCAGGCATAATGGAAGGCACTCACTGCTCCCTCCAATTGCGTAAGCCCATTACTGAACTCTGCTACATCAGCTTCTATCTTCCACGGGGGGAAGTCCGAGGATTTTCATACAAGGGCACCGTAACTCTAGACAGATCCAATAAGGCATTTCAGAACTGCTACCAAGTCAGGGAGGGGTCGGACGTCATCAGCCTCAGTCTGCAGCCGGATGAACATCCAGGGGACATATTTTTCAAGCAGACTCCCACGAAGGATATTCTAACTGAGCTGTACAAACTCACGGCAGAGAGAGAGAGACTGCTGGCCAATCTCCTAAGCTCAGACCACATCCTGGGGATCACGATGGGGAACCAGGAGGGGAAGCTGCTGGAGCTGTCCGTGAGTCTGGCCCCTGAGGACGACTGTTTCCAGAGTGCTGGCGACTTGCAGGGAGAGCCCCTCGTGGGTTGTCTCAATAAGAGGAGCACCCAGAGAAGCAAAAAGCCCCGGCGGTTTGGGGGAGGGAGAGAGAGTGTGGAGGCGCTTCCGCAGAAGAGGACAAGAAGAAAAGGGCATGGGGGCCAGGAATCAGCTCCTCAGATGGGGAGGGACCATGTCTGTCCCAGCAACTCCCTTCCTCTTTCTCGAGAGAGGCCTAATCGTGGGCTTCTAGAAGAGAGAGGCAACTTGCTTCCACATAGGGCTCGTTTCTCTTCCCTGCAGAGGAGAGAAATCTGCCCCCTGGAGATCGCCAAGACGCTGGACCCTGACCCTGGCTTTGGGAGCTTGGGGCTCACTTCTGAGGATGCTGAGTTTGGAAGAGGAGGATCGCCCCCTGACTGCAGCTCCACGGAGCCAGGGGACGAGCCAGGGGATAGTGGTGCTGGGGAGCTACCGAGGAAGCCTCACAGGCTGGCACATCAGCAGACAGGTGTCTCTGGAAGTCACAAGCACCCCGAGAAGCATCCACCCACAGAGAGGGGCCAGAGGGAGAAGTGTGCCGAGCGGACTCACAGGAAGAAACCTGTTTCCAAAGTGGTGGCCCGAGTCCAGGACCTGTCTGCTCAGGTGCAGAGAGTAGTTCAGATGCATCCTGAGGGCGAAGGAGGGCTTGCTGTTCACCCAGCAGCCCAAGCTGAGTTCATTCCCAGCGCAGACTTGCTCACCCTCCCAGCAGCCAAGGCTGGGGCTCCTGGTTCCAAGCGGCAGGGCAAGGAGCAGCACAGGGACGGGTCACGGCAGTCGTCGGCCAGGGAATGTCCTCCAGCCAGCACCGAGGGGGCTGTGAACAAGGTTCTCCTGAAGGTGATAGAGAGTGAGAAGTTAGTTGAAGCCACTGAGGGGAAGAGGCTGGGCTTCCCCCTCAGCAGGACGGCCCCCCGCACCCTCCCAGACACTGGAAGTAAGAGGAGGACTGGGCTGTCTCTGAGCGGCCACAAGACCTTGTTTCTGGATCTGCCCCACAGCGCTGGCCCCGACTCCTCACAGGGCGGAGGTGGTGAGAGGCCGCCCCCACCAGCTCGGGGCATGGTATTTAATAATTCATCCTCTCAGTCTGGCACACACACACGGATGTCACCTGTTCCCTCGCCTCTATCTCCAAGGCTCCCCAGCCCTCCCCAGCATCACAGGCTCCTCCGGCTGCCTGGTGAGAGGGAAGCCGCTCTTGATGACTCTCCTGGTAAAAAGAGTGGCACCTTCACTGGGTCCACCTCTGCTGACACCTTGGAGCCATCATCCTCTGCGAAGGTCACGGAGACCAAAGGAGCCAGCTCGGCCTTCCTCAGAGCGGACCAACCTCGGTTGGTGCCTGGGGAACCTTTGGAAAAGATCTTGGGGCCCGGGAGGATCACAGCTCAGCCTCCGCACCAGTCACCTCCAGGTTAGTCCCTGTTTAAGATGCTTTACATCATTTTTTGGGGGGTGATTCACAAACTGCTTGTGCTATTCAGGGACAGGTTAGTGGACAATGAACTGACATTCCTGGGCTTGTTAGTCAATTCTCCTTGTAGCAAGAAAACTGGGAGTGGTATAGGGAAGTGTTGAGATTGTGAGGATGGTGTTTACTTACGGAGTCAGGATTGTAGTTGCTTCCAGAAGTAATACTTTGTAAATGTCTTTGTTTTATTTTATTTTGGTGGGCGTACGCTAAGGCTGCCTCCATGGTTGCTTACCACAGGACTCTCAAAGGAACAGGAGCAAACAAGCAGGGAGAAGTAGCAACTGGTCGCTGCCTTTGATGCAAACCCCGGGTAATTGGCCCCTTGGCCTGAATTTTGCTGGCGGTACTGCTGAGTAGCTTGAATTTGTGGGGATTCTCCGAGTAGAAGAGCAAAAGCGCGCTGTGTCTGTTGTTAGAGGGTTTTGTTGTTTGTTTTTCTTTTTAGTAATCACCTTTGTAACATCATTATTTTATGACAAAAACTTTCTTTGTTTTTACCAGAGGAGTGATGAATTCAGTTTAATTTGAAGTGACTTCGTTCAGATTTTTTTTTTAATTTCTGTTTTTTAATTTCCTCAAGGAGCACAAAGCAGTGTTTGCTCTGAAGTTATAACTTATTTATGGGTTCCTACCACTCCTGGTGCAACATCATTTCTTATGCAAAAGGTGCTACAGAGACAATCTGGCTCATATGCTTAATGTGATTTAAAATTTTACATGAACACAATTGGGGTCTTCTGTAAGTGGGTCCAGTAAGACCACAAACAGCAAGGTGTAGGAAGTGCCACTCCTGTACTCGTTACATTTTCCAGGCCAGCGTGGCCAGATGCGCAGGGTCTTGTGTGCCATCGTGCGAGTAACAGGTTCTCTTTCAGCGGTGCTTTAGCAGCATATGGTCGATGCTTTGTCTAGGGAATAGTTTGTAACATGATATATGGTCTCTCACAGGTTAGAGCAAATATCATGGCAATTTTTTGAGATAAAAATATCTATGTAGGAAAGAAAAACTTCAAAAGCTTTCTTACTATTTTGAATTCTTGACATTTTTATAAATGTTTCTAAATCATTGGTCGAGGGGCTGGCTCATAAAACAATGTGGTAAATGGTTTCATCGTGTGTTTGCAATATATTGATCTTAGTTTGGTAACACTTGCTTCTTTCATAATATAACCAATCTGTGTCATCAAGAAAGCCATAGAATTGTAGATTTTATAAGCATGTATCCTGAAACCCTAGTGATGAAAACTCTTTCTCCCTATGCATACTGTGAAATACTTGGAACAGAAGCTCTCTACAACTATTAGGTGAGAGAGTCTTGGAAATGTGAGTGCAGAATGACTAGCTTCACTCTGAAGGTTCTTTTTAGAAGTCACCAAATTCTAGGATTCTGTGTGTTCCTCATCCAGAAGGTGTAAATACATTGAGCATCCATAAACCTTTCCTCCTGACTTAGAATTATCTTTTTATTTTGTTTTTCTTTTTCTATAGAAAAGATATTACAAAAGCTCTGCCATACGTGGGTCAAGGCGGACACCCAGAGGACATTCAGCTTTTGGGTGATGACCATGAACCCACTGAGGGGCAAGCTCAACAGATGATCATTTCCTTCCTTGGCTTCTCCATACAATCACTCTGAACCATTCCCTTTATTTTGGTCCCAGGTCTTCCATTGGGATCTTGAGCCAGTCATTAGAATCACAGCGATTCCTTGGCAGGGACACCCCTGGTGCTTCCAACTTTATGAAAGGAGTTGGAAAGGGAAAGGAGAATAGGGGTTCAGAGGGACCATTTTTTTCTGGCCCGGATAACTTCCCTTTTGCTGGGACCTTCCCCCAGGACATCCAAATTTTAGCTCTTATCTTGGCCCTCCTTTGAAAACCATTAAGGGAGGGAGTTCTCTACATAATACCTTTGATGTTTATCCCATGTTCTTTTCCCCTTCCCTCCCTTTAGTTCCCCTTTTCTGCAGCCTTGAGTCCTCTTCATATTCTGGATCCATCAGTGACTTCCTGCAGCTGATGGGTCCAGACAGGGGGACTTTTCTGCTTCCAGCTGCCTTTTTAACTTTCTCTTTCCTCCCACCTCATCCCAGCAGAGGCCTCAGGCAGTCCCCACAGCCTAGAGGAGGGGTCTGTAATTCATTTACTGTCACTGCACAGTGCGCCTTTATCTGCATCCACCTCCCCCCTTTCTCCCATGTCAGCTATTACCAGGTTGAGTTTATGGTCTGTGGACATGTATTTCCTGTGGAACTAACATGTAGGTATTTTATTGAAGTGATGTGATTAGCATTATTGAAAGCTCCCATTAACTGCTTTAGTAGGAGATTAAGGCTGGCAAAAGTAATCAGACCCGTTTCCAGTTGGAAGATTCTTAAGTGTTATGGACAAGTAGTAATTCCCAGGAAAGAATGAAATCCGCTTCTCCTTCTCACAGGACCAAGCCATTAAAGCCAACATCACCATCCACAGAGGAGATAGCACAGAGGTATCACAGAGCCTATTGGTCCACATCCTGTAGCTTTGTAATTTTCCTAACTCTCCATTCCAAGGGGTACACGCAGGAATTTCTTGACTGGTGGTGATATGATCAAATAGAAAATATACTAACAATGAATAGTGGCCAGATTTCTCTTCTCACCCTCCTCCTCTCTCCCTCTCCCCCACCTTGGAATTGGTTTTATAGTCTTTTATTTTGGGATGGAAACTGCTGTAGAATGTTCCCAAGCCTTTGTAGAATGTGGTATTTTCTCAAACCTTGAGGGACTGTAGCTGTGCAAGCCTGCATAGCAGTAGCCTTGGGGCTGAATTCCTTTCTGTTTCGATGGTTTCTTTTACCTTTGATCTTCAGTAGACCCATTTAAAGCCAGCAGAATCACATGGAACTTGGCTCCCCATTCCCAGCGCTTCAGGGGGCTCCTCAGCCATCTCGTGATCTTTTCCTTTGATTGAAATCACCAGGGTGGTGATGGAAGCACATGCCCCAGGCATAGTTCTTCTTGATATTGTGACTCACTTGTCCAATTCTTGTGCCCATGGAAAGATGTAGTTAAGTCAACTGATTGAGGGTTGAGAGGCGTATGTGTAATAGATTTTATTATATCTAATGCTACTGTCAAACCTTTGATTCTTCTCTGCATATATATTATGGGGGAGTAGATGTAATATTGAGGTGTGATGCAATGCCAATAAAATTTTAAAGAAGCTTTACAATATTAATGGACAGATGTTAAGATTACTACAGAAAGTATATAGAAAGATTATTGCAGAAAACATATAGAAAATTATCTGTAATTAATGCTAAGAAAGAAAATAACATTCAAAAATTGCATATACCATCTTATACCCATGTAAAACAAATCAAGAATTAAATTGACAGGAAATACATTGCTATATATATTTTAAGAAAGTAAGTGAAGTTACTTCAGTAATTGAAACTATATGTAACTTTGTCCTAGCAACCCTACTTTTAGGAATTTAGCTTACATAAATAGATGCACTAATAAGAATGTGTGCATAAGGGCAGTTATTGGAGCATTGTTTGTAGTACCAAAGACAGCTGAAAAATTTTTGAATTTTCATCAGTAGAGAAAGGGTTAGATAAATTATAGTATACTTACACTCTGTAATATTATGAGGCTATTCAAGGTAGTGAACTAGATCTACTTCTAGTAACATGCTCTCAGTTTTTCTAGAGAGTGTATCACCTTCTCCATGTATGAGTATATATATTTTGGTATGGGTTTGAATATCATGGAGACAGGTATAGAGAAGACTGGCCAGGCTGTTCAATGCTGTATTTAGGGCCAAGGCAGGGAGAAGGTGGGGACTGAGGCTCCAGAAGCACTGGGGAAGAGCACTCACTTTTTTCTTTATTTATATTTACATCATTGCACAGGTTGTGGTGAAAGTGTCACCTGTGATTTTTTAAAGAGTGATTTGTAACTACTTTTTTATTTTTTGGTTTTGGTTAATCCTCACCAGAGGATTTTTTTTTTCTCATTTATATTTAGAGAAAGTGGAGGGGAGGGATGGAGGGTGGAGAGAGAGAGAAACATCATTGTGAGAGACACATGGATTGGTTGCTTCTCGCATGCGCCCCAACTGGGGCCAGGGATCAAACCTGAAACCCAGATACATGCCCTTGACTGGGAATCAACCTGTGACCCTTGGGTGCGTGAGCTGACACTCTAACCACTGAGCCAAACGCACTTTTTAAAGAAAAAAGATACTCCTAGAGTGATGTGCATGTATGGTAGGATTATAGCTAAACCACACTTTTCTGTATTTTACCCATGTCCTTTAATGAGGCAAAAGTTCATCATTGATACACAGCATTGTTACGAAGAGAAATTCAGGTTGCTGGAGCCCTGTGAAAGCAATGCCCATAAAGGACTTGTCAGGGAGGTAGGACTGGATGAGGACTGATCATTATCCAAAAACCAAGAGAGGAAGGCAGTTCAGACAGGGTCCTGACAGGTAACCGACATCCCCAGGCCTGAAGGAACAAGGGAAGCAGGGGTCACTGGAACCTGACAGGGGAGCTTAATCAGGAGGACCATGTGGCGGGAACAGTGGCCTGCAGTAGAGGCACCTGGCAGAGAGGAAGTTGTGGGAATAAATATCCTGGCCTCACTTTCCTTTGATCTTCTGCCTAGAAAACTCCTCTAACTGAACCAACCATAAGGCAGAGTGTAAGGGACTTGGTAGATGCGATCTGAAAGGTCAGCCTTTGGAGCCAAGAGCATGTGCAGAAGGGCGGAGAGTGGATCTGGAGGGCAAGAGTGAGACAAGATGATGCAGATAGACTTTGCCCTGAGGACCAAAAAGTGTAGACAGATGGAATGGTATTGTAAATGACCAATGAGGTAAAGAAGGATGTGTGTATGTGTAGTATATGTTTTGTTATAGAACACTGGTTATCTTGATAATAAGTAATTA